TCTCAGACTGAAGAAGTCTCTTGGAGGAGAGACGAAACGTTTCATTAGAGAAGAACCCGTCCAGAAGACCTACACAATTTTTTCCTTTTTGATTTCATAATTATGCGATCGGGACCTCATAATTATGAGATAGGATGTCGTAATTATGAGAACAGGATCTCTTAATTATGAGAAAAGATGTCATAATTATGAGATAATATCTCAGAATTATGAGATAATATCTCATAATTATGAGATAAGATGTCATAATTATGAGATAAGATGTCATAATCACGAGATCAAAATCTCACAATTACGAGAAAAGATCTCATAATTACGAGATATCATAATTTCAAGAGAGCTCATAATTATGAGATAAGATGTCATAATTATGAGATATCTCATAATTACAAGCAAAGATCTCATAATTACGAGATATTATGTCATAATTACGAGAAAAGATCTCATAATTACGAGATATTATCTCATAATTACGAGAAAAGATCTCATAACTACGAGATATCTCATAATTATGAGAATAGATCTCATAATTACGAGATATCTCATAATTACGAGAGAAGATCTCACAATTATGAGATAAGGTGTCATAATTATGAGATAAGATGTCATAATTACGAGATCAGGATCTCATAATTATGAGAAAAGATCTCATAATTACGAGATAATATCTCGTAATTATGAGATAAGATGTCATAATTACGAGATCAGGATCTCATAATTANCTCATAATTATGAGAAAAGATCTCATAATTACGAGATAATATCTCGTAATTATGAGATAAGATGTCATAATTACGAGATCAGGATCTCATAATTACGAGATATTATCTCATAATTACGAGATCAGGATCTCATAATTACGAGAAAAGATCTCATAATTACGAGATATTATCTCGTACTTACGAGAAAAGATCTCATAATTACGAGATAAGATGTCATAATTACGAGATCAGGATCTCATAATTACGAGATATTATCTCATAATTATGAGATAAGATGTCGTAATTATGAGATAAGATGTCATAATTACAAGATCAGGATCTCATAATTATGAGATCTTTTCTCATAATTATGACTCCTGATCTCATAATTAAGAGATCAGGACTCATAATTTTTTATTTGGTGAATCAATGCTCTTCTGTAGGATAGAGCCAGGTTCTAAACTCAATTTTATCAGGTTCTTTACAGGTGTGTTGTTTGTTTGTTTCTGATCAGGGCTTCAGGTGAGTGAAGACAAGTGGAGAGGAGAAGTGGTGCTGCAATCCACATTTAGCAGCAAACTGCTCAACCTGGGGCACGCCTCCACTGTACCGACAGGTATGATCACAGCCAATCAGCAGCCCCCTCTGTTCAGGTGTTTCCAGCTTACCTGTGTGTCCTTTTGTCTTTAGTTACCCAGCATGTTGATGCTCACTCGCTCAGCTCTTTGTGTAGCTTTATTAAAGAGCAGCGCCCCCTGCTGTTGACTCTGTCCCGTCCACCTCCACAGGACCTGAACCGCCTCCGCTACACCTCTCTACGGGCGCTAAGGGTCAACAGTCTGGTTCATGCCCTGCTGCGGGTCAAGCATGCACACATCAGCTCAGGTAAGCTGGTGGGGTTGCTCTGTTAATAACTAATATATTAATTAACTACATCAATATATATTAATAACTATGTGATGATGACTAATCTGATACTATGGTGTTCCACAAGGCTTCACCTGAGTCCCTGGGCCCATATTTATGAAACTTCTTAGAATTACTCTTAAGGATGCTGTTAAGTATGGACCAAGTGTAAAAAAAATTCTTAGCTAAAAGCTGAGCCTAAACGTCAGTTGTCAAGCGTCTTAAACTTTGCTTAAAGTCCTACTTGAAGCGAAGTGTAGGAGTAAATCTGAAGCGTCAGTCTTAGAGCTGATTTATGTTTCCACTGGGACAAAATGTCAAGAAGACATGATCTTGTACAGACACAGTTACGGAGGTGTGTGTTCAGCTAACCTTTTTTAAGGTTAGCTTGCTTTGTGTATTTTACCAAATATTTAAGTGTCTCAATTCATCACCACTGAAGTGCCATTATCAAATATTATATTTCCTGTTAATTTTTCATCTCTTAGTTTCAGATTCTGTATTTTTCACTGCAAAAACTGTCCATCTTACCAAGTTTTAAAATCTTATATCAGCCAAAAAGTCTGTTTGATCTTGTTTTCAGACTGATTTACTAAACAAGAACTGATTGTGTAAGAATAATCATCTTGTTTTCAGAATGTGTAAGATTATTTGTCTTGTTAGTCTGAAAATTTGACTCTAATTAAGTCAAACATTTCTGCCAGTGGAGTAAGAACATTTTACTTGATTTGACTCAATTTTTTCTTATTTCAAGAATAATCAAGCGCCTCTAGTGTTTAGACATGGAACTGCATCCAGCGATGCTCAAGTAAAATGTTCTTACTCCACTGTCAGAAATGTTTGACTTAATTAGAGTCAAATTTTCAGACTAACAAGACAAATAATCTTACACATTCTGAAAACAAGATGATTATTCTTACACAATCAGTTCTTGTTTAGTAAATCAGTCTGAAAATAAGATCAAAAAGACTTTTTGGCTGCAGGTTTTAAAACTTGGCAAGGTGGACAGTTTTTGCAG